TCACCATTCCTCAAACAAAGGCTACAGACATGAGGTGACAAGCACTAAATTGGTCTCTTTCTTTGAAGCACCTCCAAGGTATTGATTTTTTGGAGAATCAGTTCCCAACAAAGAGCCCTTACTTTTGGGGGGACTGGAGCGCTCCAAACTTCTTTAACAAGAAAAGAGGAAACCGGGTTAGAAGGACCAAAGCATTGAAAATTGAAGAGCAAGAAAAACCACCTGTAGAAGTTTCTGCCCAAACTCTACTATCCGGAGAGGAGTGGTCTAGAAAAACTTTACTTAGAAGAGAAAAAATATCAATTGCTGACTCCACTTCTAAGTCCCTCAAACATCTCCTTAGTCCCAAATCCCAAGAATCCCCAGAAGTACGAAAAGAAGAGATAAATTGAGATTTTTTCAAAGAAAGGGAATAAAGGTTGGGAATCTATCCTTAAGAGGAGATTCCCTAATCCACAAGTCCTCCCAAAAAAGAATTTTATTCCCACACAAGCATCATACCTGATGTAAGGATAGAAGAAAGGCAAGATACCAACAATATCTTTCCACGGGGAAAAACGCAAAGCCCTTGGGTCAAGTCCAGCGTTCCATCCATTTGCTGCCATTCCATGAATACTTCTTATCACCTTATGCCATAGACTCTCTTGCTCCTTAGGAAACCTCCATAACCATTTGCCTAACAAAGTTGCATTTCTTATTCTAATATTTCCAATCCCTAAACCCCCTTTGTCTTTCTTTCTAGACACCACTTCCCATTTTACCCTATGATCCTTTTTGGTATCTCCAAGCTCCCACAGAAAATCTCTCATTATTTTTTCAATCTGGTTTGCAATCTTAACAGGCAATTTTAAGGCAGACAAAAAGTACACTGGAAAATTTGCTAATGTAAATGTAGTTCCATTTCCAACCCACTAGTCTTTTTGAGAATCTTTCCAAGACTGGGTACCAAAAGCTAACAGACCTCAGATTTCCTCCCAAAGGTAAGCCTAAATACTTAAGGGGACATTCACTTACCTCACAACCTAGAGATCTAGCCAACGATGCCACCTGACCTTCTTGCCTATTAATTCTAGCTACACAGCTTTTATTCCAATTTACTCTCAAGTTGGAGACCTTTTCAAAATACTCTACCAAGACCTTTAAATTTTCCAACTCCTTCGGATCTCCTTCACAAAAGAGAATCAAGTCATCAACAAATTGAAGGTGGGTTACAACTATTTCCTCCCTCCCTACTCTTCACCCTCTAATCAAATTTCTAGCATTGGCTGAAAGTAAGTGTTTTATTTAAAGATTTTTCAGTGAATGATATACAAAGGGGCTGGTTAGCAGTGGCAAACTCTTCAACCAAACAACCTGTCTTTCAGCCTTCTTGGACACCAACAGCACAACAAAGAGTAAAATTAAATTTTGATGGAAGCTCCATGGGTAATCCAGGACCCTCGGGAGCTAGGGGAGTCTTTAGGGATGGGAAGGGCAGAATGGTGGCACTATACTTTGGTCCCATAGTTGTTGGAGACTCTATGAGAGATGAAATTTTGGCTCTCCTACAAGGCCTGAGATTCGCCAAACAATGGGAATTTCAGAACTTGGAGGTGGAAGGAGACTCTAAATTGTTAATAGGGTGGCTGCAAACAAAGAAGTTTAGACAGCAAATAAGGGAAATAATCTGCTTGGCAAGAGTAGTTGGAGTAACATTCAAATGGGTAAGGAGATCGGCAAACTCTGTGGCAGATAGCTTGGCAAAACAGGGGACTTTCAGGAAAAACTTCTTTTGGGTTGTACTGTAATTCTTGATGTTATTTTGGGGTCAACACTCTGTCTGAGTGGTCGACAATGTAAGATGTTTATTTAATATATACCGTTTCCAATCAACAAAAAAGTGGCAACAACCCTATCCCAAATATCCTTGGCCGTTGGAAGAAATATGTAGTTTCGGGCAATATGAGGTTGCACTGAGCAAATCAGCCATGACATAACAAGGGAGTTATCTTGTTCCCACTTTGCAAATTTTGGGTCTTCAAGATTTGGCTTCACCTCCTTTCCTATGGTGAATCCCAGTTTACCTCTCCCAGTAATGGTAAGTTTAGCAGATAGAGACCACTCTAAAAAATTGATTCCATCAAGTTTAACTGAAATTATCATCCCACAGGGAATATGCACTTCCAGGGAACACACTAGAAACCATCTAAACCTCCTTAGATGATTCCATATTTTATCAAGACACTTTCTCGCCAACCAAAAAGACCCCCAATACTTAACCAAAGTTACAGACCCAAGAACCAAGGTCACACATGGTTAAGAGATAGAAGAAGGCCAAAAAACTAGATTGGCAACAAAATAGAGCGAGAAGAAAATCTCCCAAAAATTATACAGGGCTCAAAAAATTACGAGACCACTTCCCGTCATTCCCAAAGTGTAAAATGACCTGAATGGTCTAGGTTTTACAATCATGGTTCAAAGTATCGATACGATACGCCTGATATGGGGTGTATCGTATCATATCTTTTGAAAAAGATACGGTTCGAAACGCTTGTTTCCAGGGTTTCGGACCCCCAATTTTTTTTAATAATAAAAAATATCTTATAAGCTTCCCAAAAAACTAAACTTTGAAAAAAAAATAAAAAAAAAAGTATGTATCGACCATTTCGAAGTACCGATACGATACGACCGAAACTCGTATCGTATCGATACTTTGAACCTTGTTTACAATAGAAGAAGCCATTAAACATGATGTACAAGGCTCGACATCAAATCTGAAAATTTTGCAATTTTCTCCTTGAAAAAACCACTAAAAATCATAGAAGATTTGAACAGGAGCAAGAGTTATACCAAAATTTCTCTAAAATCAAAGCGAATCAAACCATGTAAGATTCATTGATTGTCGCTGACACCTGTACGGACTACTGATGTCATCTGGTGGTAGTCTGTCGTCAACAGTTCACCTCGTGGGAGAGGATCAGCAGGAGAGGTACTCCCAAGTGCCTTTACCCGCTCTGATACCAAGTTGCAAAACAAGAGTAAAAAACTAGGTTTTAGAAGAGAAAGGAAGAGGAGAGAAGAAGAAGAAGAAGAAGAGATGTGTCGAGAGGTGAGTCATAGTTACTGTTCACACCCTCAAAATATCTTTATATTTTCTAAGGAGGAAATTACAAGAAAGCTCCTACTTGGGCACCCAAATACAAAAAAAAGTACAAGGGAAGAGAAAAGGTCCAAAAACACCCTTGTCTAAGCATTCTCAACAATTCTCACAACCAAATTCCTCAACCCATTTGTGTGAGCATCAACTATTCTAAAACAGACTTCCATTGAAATCTCATCTAACCGACATAGTGGGATACACCCCTAAACTACAAGTCTTAAATCGTACCATTCCCCTAAAAACTTTAAAGCCAGACTCAACGAAACCAGGTGGGTTTCCTCAACTTTAACCAAATTCTTCAACTTTTTTGTGTGAGCACCAACTTTTCTAAAACAGCCACAGGTGTTCCCCATAGCATGAAATGTTTGTAGATTCTAGGCATGGAGAGGAATCCCAAAGATGTTAATCCACACAAGGTTCTTAATCCCCATTTCTTGGACTGCCCCCACCAACGGATTCCATCTTCCTAGTCTGAGGTCTAGCGATCTAATTTGAATAGATTCTTGATCCAAGACTTTCTCCTTGCCACCCAAGATAAAAAGAAAAAAGCCTGTATTTTGTTTTCTTACTTGAACATTTGCTTTATGAATTTGGAGATTGAGGGTGACTTAAAACTAGTAATCTCTTGGACGAATGACAACAGCCCAGGTGTTTGGATATGCAGACATCTAATAAAAGAAATCAAGAGCATGGCGAAGAACTTACAAGCAAACTTCAAATGGGTAAAGAGAACAGCAAATGGAATGGCAGATAGCTTGACAAAACAATGGGTGTATAGGGATGTTTTCTTCTGGGCAGATTTGTAATAGGGGCTGTCAACTTGACTTTTCCACTCCAATCTAACCCATTTCAGAACCTCCTTGTCTGATTCAAGGTTAACAAAACAACCAACTAAGCATTTCTATAACCATCTCATGATTCTCACCCTTTCGAGAACAACTTCATTCGACTCGATGAAACTTTCCTTCATTCTTGAATATTGAACTGATCTTATTGGTGATATTCTGAACTCAACTAACCATATCACCCTTTCAATAAGCATCACATCTAAAGCTGTGGAGTTAGAATGGCACAATCTTCTATGAACTTCACAATGGGGCAATACTTTGCATCTAGCAAGGACAAAGATAAATGCTAGGGCATAGACCATGGAGAAAACAGAGGGGGAAAATGCAAATCTTGCAACAATAATACATGTGGGAACCACCCAGATGATCTTCTAATTCAAAATTCAACCTCAATGGATGATCTCACAAAAAAAAATGATGATAGATTGTATCATGGTAATCATCTTTCAAATAGATCTTTTACTAGGGAAATCCCCTAGAAGATACCCTAGAGTGCCATATTACAGAGCTTGCTAGTTCATCAGCACTCAAAGAAGGAAAAAACAAAGGAGAGTGAATAATAAACTAAGCACACCTTGGTGAAGGGACAAAGAAACAACTTTTCTATAGATCAAAGAAACCACTGCTTGTTATCACAGAAGTCAAAACATTAAACATGAGGTGCTTTTATCTCTTAAAATATGTACTCTGTCTCTTTGAGTAGTGATTAGAGGTCTGACCCCTGTATCAAAAATGGGGTGTTCCCAAATCACTCACCAAAAAGAAAAAGAAAAATACAAAGCCTAATGATTAAAAAAAAATGTGCTATCACACAATTACACTTTTAGCATGCATTTCTTAACATTTAGGATGGGTTGGGTCGCACCTTGTTATATCTACTTCTTAGTAGTGTATCATTTCCCCTCTGTACAGTGAAGTAAGACTAAAAGGAATGGGAGACTGCCATGAAATGTTGCTCATGGATTACTATTTTCTAGACTTCAAGAAGAATCCAGTTTAATCAAAATAACTACCTGTTGTGATTGTCCGGAAACGCTCTTGACCAGCTGTATCCCATATTTGTAGTTTGATGCGCTTCCCATCAAGTTCAATAGTCCTAATCTTAAAGTCAATCCTGGCAAACACATTATTCCAACTTGAGCAAGCTAGATGAGATTACAAAAATTGTAACAAACATTTCCCAAAGGCTGAGAAGCACAATAGTAAACATCCAGGCAAAGGCATTATTCAAGTACACACCCTATTGTGGTAATAAAGCTTGTAGTAAAAGAATCATCTGAGAAGCGCAATAGTAAACAACTCTTTCCAACCCCTGCAAATATGGATTAAAGTAGTTCAGACAGAAAATCCTCAAACAAAAGTAACCACAAATACATGCTTTCCAATGAACACAGTCACACACAACAAATTCCTGGTACGGTGGTACCAAAAGAAGAAAGATAGAAGATGGAGAACTCAAATGAAAAGCTAAAAATATTTAAACAACTAAAATGCAACATATGATGAAGAGTAGAGGGAATTATTTGTTTTGAAAGGTAAAAGAATCTCAAGTTAGTCCTAGTCAATGAATATATTTTTTAAAACAATGTAGGTAACCTCACTATTACACGGTTATTTGTTATAACCATATAATATTTCTTTCTACACGGTAGAAGGTGGCTTCTTTATTCTCTGTGTTTTCAGAAGGCTGCTGGTTATTTTTCACGCTTTTTCACTATTGCTTTCTTTTCTACTGGATTTGGGCAAATGTAATGAACTAGTTCATTGCTTTGAGCTGAGTACACAGAATGCCAAGGGTAAAGAGCTGTTGTATCCTAGAGGTTGACCACCAAAAACCTTTTGCACCAACGGACAAATTCCTAGAGGCAGAAAAATTAGTTTTAAGGACAACAGACGTTTGCTGCACCTCAACTATTACCAATAAGTTTTTTCTGTGTCTTTATTTTGGAGATTCAGTTTGATCATAACAGATTTGTTACTATTACAACTTCCATAGACTGTTATTGCCAGATTGCTGCCACCATCTATTTATACTTATTTTACCAACAATGTTGCCACCATCTATAACAGGTAATGGAACACCTGTTATAGATGGCAATGTTTTAAAACAAGAGGCATTCTGACTTTTGTTTATAGCCCTCAAACTCCAACAAAATGAACCATCTTCATGCAAAACAGGTTCTATGTCTAAGGAGAGACAACTTCCATATAATTCTCTATTATTCTATCACTTTCAAAGCATACTTTTATTCTATGGGAATTTAGGGTAAATTCAGCCATTCCAAGTAGCATTTCTGACATGATCCTAGGCATTATTTTAAATCACTATAGCCACCAACACGTATGTGAAAAATACCAGGTAGATTTTGAGATTTTGGCCACTTATTTCACCTGAAGATTTGGACATAATATTAAAATAAGAAAAATAAAAAAAAAGGTCATTACCCAATGTTGGTCCCAGCTACCTGGGATCTTGGGAGGGGTAGCCTGGGTACAGGCTTAGCCTTTGGCAATTGTTGCACAAAGTGGCAGCTCTCAAATTCCAACCTGCATTCTCAAACCTGTCAGCCTGAGATTTTACCATTGCAACAAACGATGGCCCCTTGCTTAATAAAAATCAACAATGCAAATATAAATATACTACAAGATACTATAATTTTAATAAAATAATTTCTGAAATTTAAAACCTTGATCCTAGCTTGGCCTTAGCATTTAAAGTTCAAGAATCAAGACATGGAGATGCATTCTTTGGGGACTTTATTTTTTTGACAAAAAAATTATATATATATACCAAACTAATATATTTAATCTTCTTTTTTCATTAATTATTTTGATAAATTTGAGTGCATATGGTGACCAGCAATACTGAAACTTTCGTATATCAGTTTCTGCCCTCTTTCTTTTGCAGTCAATACCATTACTTATTACGTATCAAGATCAAAGAAAAATATCAGATAACTTAAGCAATTTCCTCTTTGAAGCTGAACTCTTATGTACGGTATCTAAGATATAATTAGGAAATTGCCTTCTAAGTTAACGTCCACATTATCATATTTGAGTTTGAACAATGCATGTACCATTTTTTGAACGAGATTCCAGGGAGCCTTTACAGAGAGCTCCCAAGCAAATTGATAGAACGAAATCTCACGTTTATAGGTTTTCCAGCAATGACGAATGCATCATCAAAACCCTAAAACAAGTTAACTATGCGAAACCAGAAGGCAGACAAAAAACAAAATATTCAATTTTGAAGCACGGTGTAGTCAAATCATGAAAGGGTCATCATTAAATTCGAATAACTATAGGCACAGAAAACCCTAGGTTTCCTCCGCACTCTCCAATAAGAGGTGGATGAAAGAAATGAAGAAGACTAGTGAGCGGAAGAAGAAACTAACCGCTGTCGCCAATGAGAAGAAGCTTTATGAGATAATCGTAATCGGCCCGAGCTCGCACCGGAGGGGCTGCCATCTTTCCCGGTTTCGGTTTTCCCGGACTTTTTTATTTTCAGATTTTTTGGGGGGGTTTCTTTAAATATTGTTCAGATCAGAAGCATAATAGGCCATAAAAATGGCGCCTCTCTAGGATCGAGGAGGCTGGCCAAAACAAAGTGTACTGAGCTTCACTTAATAATCAATAGGGCTGATCATGGGCCGGGTCTGATTTCGGGTTAATGTCTTTCATATATAAAATATTATATATGATATAACATGCATTTAAATTTTTATTTTATATATTATATAATATAAATATTATATATAATATAAATTATATCTATCATATTATAATATTTATATAAAATATATAATATAATGTAAAATAAAATATATACATCATATACAATGTGTAAGTTTAAATATACGTGGACTGAGTCATGCCTGAACACAAAATCTAGGCTTAACCCCAAATTTTCTGGGCCAAATTGAAATGATCACCCCAAATAATTAAGCAATAAAAGATATTCTCTCTCACAACTAAATCCAGCTTCCTGAACAAATAACTAGAGCTAACCTATCCTCCTCCAAGGCTCCAACTAAAGTGCGCACTTTTCCTTGTTAGCCTGTCTTATGTGTATAGTTAGACATAAAGCGGAATCGAAAAACTTACCACATGGCATCATCTTAAGTGATCAGACCCGCCAAAATAGCTTCAACGTAAGAAAGTGTTTAATCATTTGGCAAATTTTTTCGCATGGTCTTACGCTTTGGTATGCTCGGAAATTAGTCTTATTTTCGTTTGGTAACCAACACCTGAAAGCCCATAAGATGTGTTTGCGTAAAGACCAAAATGAATGAAAATGCCAATTTTAGGAAAATTTATCAATGTAACACTCAATCATGGGTTTAAAATTTTAGTGGATTGTAATAAGGGCAAATTTTTTAAACTACCTCTATTGTTTAGGAAATTATTTTCGCTTTATTATTATTTAAGAAATTAATTAATTATACCCTTGCTATTTCAGTATTGTTTTAAAATATCCTTATCGTTTGTCGCATAATTCATTTTCCGTTAAGTCTTTGTCATAAACTGTTTACACATGACTTTACATGTTTGATTTTAATTTTAAAATATACCCAAAATGCCTTTTTCGGCGAAGATCATGTCTTCTCTACTCAAACCACCATCTTTCTCATGAAGCTGCCGATAAGCATTTGCCTTGAAAGCTCCCACCGCTTGAACTGACCTAGCCTCCACCAGTGCCGATTGGGGTGGGACTCGAGCAAAAACACCGAACACAAACAAAGACCAAAATCACGTTCCTGATCACACTGTCCATAGTCCATACCATACACAGACAAAAACCAAAACCAAACACTCTTGCCGCTAGGACCTCCCCCGATACCCACAAGGCTCTTTACCCCCTGCAATATCTGATATTCAAGGCAACTTCAATAAAATTATCTGGTGTCAACTCACCAAAATGAGAGAGGAAGAGGTGGAGAAGGTTTGAGGCATGGTGAGAGACTGTGTTAGCAAGCATCTCTACTCCTCGGCAATCTTCTTAATTCGTTGATAAGGTTGCTGCCTTTACATCGGACCCCGCTGACATCTACATGTAGGCAAAAGCTCTCTACCTAGGTCGTCATTACTGTCGGGCTTCCATCTCCTCAACGCTTCCCAGATTGTCCTCCATGATCTCCAGTTTTGGTACCTTGCCGCCAAATGTTTGGTATATTCTTCCCTCCATCACACCCTTGATGCTAGGAGATTCGATTAAGCATTGGTTTTTTTTACGGGTGCCCTTAATTGTTTCATTAATTGAGAGAGAGGGGGAAGAAGAAAACCACCGTTGTTGAAGGTTGCAACGGCGGTGGCCAATAGAGATGATAACAGGGGAGGGGAAGAATGGAGAAACTGAGAGAGAGGGGGGGAAGAAGAAAACCACCACTGTTGAAGGTTGCAGTGGCGGTGGCTGGTAGAGATGATAACAAGGGAGGGGAAATAGATGGATGGCCGAGAGAGGGAAACAACAAGGTGGTTTGCCGCTGACATCCTGTTCGATTGGCCATTGTGAGATGCCTGAAGAAGCCAAAGCAGGGATCTCTTTCTTCTCATTGTATCATCTCTGAAATGGCAAAATGACTGAAGAGCAGAGCAGACTCTCATCTTTGAAATGGCAGAAGGACCAAAGAGGATAGAAGACAATGGACTGTTCTTCCAAAAATCCGAAAAACTACTAAAGTGGACCCAATCACCGGTGATTGCAAGATTCGAGTAGACCAATGTCGCGGGCCTCTTAGCTCGACCAATGATGCGGGGCTCTAGAATCATATCCTAGAGAGGTGCGTCAATTTCTCTCATAGAGGTGTGTGTGGAAAGTTTCATTTTGGAAATTTAAAGAAGAATGGTGGGCAAAATAGTCTTTTTATTCCTTCTAGTCAATTGTCGGAAGGGGTACTTTAAGACAATACTAAAACGGTAGTGGTATAGTTAGTCAATTTCCTAAACCTGAGGGGCAGTTTAAGAAAGTTGTCCTTTTTTATATGATAATCGATGTAAATGTATGTCAATAAAATTGATGTATTTTACATCGATTATTGATAGGGGTATTCACGAGTCAAGTTGGGTCGGTTTCATGGGATTTTCCCAACCGACCCGACCTAGTCGGGTTACCAGAGGTGGGAACCGAAATCGACCCACTGATAGGCCAAACCGACTTGGTCGGTTTGAGTCGGGTTGGGTCGGTTTGGGTCAGTTTCAGTTTTGCTCCTGTACAAAGCCGAATAAACTCTGAATTAGTTGAGGACTTGAGTTGAGGGGGGCGGACCAACCAAGTTAAGTTAGAGAATAGAAGATTTTAAGAGAAGACAAAAGTGGAATTAGAAGACTAGTAG